TCACTCACCAGCGCAAGGTCGAATCTGGGAGCTCACATAAGATATAATACACAAAGCCTTTGTGCTTTACATCACCCTCTGCGCATTCCAGATGCTGCAGCCCATGCTCGACAAGTGCCCTAGTCTTACCTTCGCCCATGCTATTCTGAGTGAACTCCATTCGCCGACCGAAACTGGCACATTTCGGGCTGCCCGCAAATTCCACAGCTGCCTGACGGCCGACGACAGCTGCCCCCTTGAGGTTCACCCCGGGCGATTCCCAAGCCCGTCGCACATGATCAGATCCATGGCTAGATCCAGATCCAACCCCATGTTGTCTGCCAAGCCTGTCATGCGAACTGGTGAATACGCTTCGCTCGCGCGCGTAGACTGCGGCTCGACGTTTGCCACATAGCTGGGCTTTCTTACGATGATCATGTACCTCTGTGAAAATTGACATGTTCTGCGCGCTGGTAACCCATGTTATTGTAGCTCATCAACAACACACTTGTTCACGAAAGCTTGGCTGAACCTTTCTTGTTACGTCTTCCTTCTCATCCACGCGCTTGCTCTATCCCGCATGCGGTTCACTTTCGGGCTAAGCGTCGGCCGCCCTCTTCGCATTCACGCTTTGGCCACTTTCGTCAAACCCGTCAAATGCTTCGATTTCGCCCAGATATCGGCTGGACTGGGCTGCTGCTTTCTAAATCTCGAACTGGCACTTGTTTCGGTCATGTTTCCACTTGGCTCATCTATGCCGCGCGCGACTCCCTTGTCTGAGATGCGTTCTCCCAGCATGGACACGCCAATGTGCCATTTCAAACTAGCTGTTTTCAAAACAAAAAAAAATCTGCGCGACCGCTCGCGCCTCCAGATTGGCCCCCCCCTCTTGACCAGCGATCGGAATCTTCGGTCGCCCCCTCGCTTGCTGCCGCGGCCCCCATGTCGGGCCTAAGCCTCTTCCGTTCCACGTCTGCCAGTCCCCCCCTTCCCTGTCGCGTCAAAACTGTGCTGAGCCGAAGCCAATCATGCCTGTGCTAGGTGATCCACCTGCGAATTCTACCACTCTATGACCCGCGATCTGCCCTCGACACTGCGCGGCCCACGACCGGCATCGCCTCGCGCGACGGCCCCGCATTCGCAGCGCCCCAGGGCGCCTCTCATCACGATACTCTCGTCCGATTGTACAAGCATTCCTCTGACCAAGTGCGGGCCCCCTCGGATAGCGTCAGCTCTGGCCAGGGCCGACGTCGCGAAAAATCACGGTTGCACCGCGCTGCGCCCGGCTTTGGGACGCGGCTGCAACGGCCGCCCCGTCGTCGAGATCATCTTCTCGGAACGCCATCTTTCCTCTTCGCCCCGCCGTCGCCGGTGCTTTGGTGATCGGGCCGCTGCGTTCTTGGTGCCAATCATGAACGCTTGACTCTCATCGCGCGCCCCCAAACACGCGCCCGCGCCTCTCTTGGGCCCCGACTTGAATCCGCCGCCGGCACCTGCCCTGAAATACGATACACACTTACCGAATTCATCGGCATCGCCCGCGGGCTGTCCATCCATCGCTGCCCTGCGTAAACACGTTCATAAGCGACGGGGCACGCGACGCCATCCACGGATTTAGGGGGGCGTCCGAATGGAGACCACTGAGCTGTCAAGCGCTCGCACTGGTCGCTGAACTGCCCCACGCGCCATTCCGACATCCCCGTCGGCCGCGAAGTCTCACATTGGAGTTATTCCTACTCCCGTTGATAAAACTGGCGCTGACCTGACAATCCCCCCCCCCAGGGCAGGCATAGATGATCCCCCGTCGTTTTTGAGCAACACTTCTTGGCGCCCTGCGAGCGACGCCGCGCCCTCAGTTACTCTCGTCGACCAACGACCCACGCCCATCTCCATCGTTCACGCTCGGCTCCCGAGTAGTTGCGCTTCTCGGCAGTGCATTACCAGCATGGGTTCGTCTGCTTCGCTTGCTTCGCCATTGCTTGAGCTCATGCGCCTTTGCCCTTAAGCCACGCGTTATCTGCGGGAATCACGGGCACTTCTCCTTTCAGCCCGCACTGCGAGGCCACCAGCTTCCACGCGATAAGCGACTGAGGTTGCGCAACTATTATTCTTGTTTGCCCGGGCGGAGGTCGAGCGCGCTCCCTGGCGCAGGTTCAGCGTCTGCAGCCACGAGCACGTCTTCCACTGCAACCATGTCACTCTCAGCAGCTTCGGCGCCCTCCCGTTGATCTCCGCCCCCCCAGCTTGCGTCGCTGGCCTCTGTCGTTTGCCCACTTGGGCCTGCTGGGCCGAATAGGAAAAGCCTCCCCGAAAGAACCCTGCCTCGGGACATCCTCATTGTCGTTCTCCTCACTGGCTCGCCAGCCTTGCCTTCAGGGACGTTGATACTGAATGGAAGCGCCCCAGCATGCCTGCGAATTACCGTCGCCCATGCGTATCTCTTCTCAACTCGATTGCGTTGCCCACTTCTACCATTTCCCGTGCCGACCGGGATGCCTCCCTCGCGTCGGCGGCATGCATGTGCATCACTCGATTGTCTCCTTCTTCGCTCTGACCTGAAACCACTCTTCGACCATGCCTCCCTCTTACTTTGCCGACATTGCTGTTTGCAGCACTGCAGTGACGACCATTTTCCGAGGCTTCAGTCTGCTTCAGCGGCAAGTGGGCGGCATCGGTGCGCGGCCAAATAACGTCGCATGCCCCTGGGCCCGCGGCCGCCACGACCGCTTCAAAGCTTGGCTCGGGGCCGTCACCGGGCGCGTCTTTCACTTCGCCCGACTGGTCCTTTACCTCGACCGACCCCACTTCGAACCTCAGCGCTTCGCAGCGACCATACTTCTTGCACTGCAAGCCTTCATGCTGCATCATTGTCTGCCCCATATGTCGCACCATATTATGTTGTATCCTCGCGGGGCTTGCCCAATCGCTCCCAGGTGGGCCAGGGCGGCACACGCTTACTTCGCGACACCTGGGACCCATGCCTGGCTGCGCCGGTCCAAGGCGATAAACGCTTCGACCCCCGTGAGTCCACCCAACTCCGTTTGCGCCCTCTTGACCACGCATGTAGCAGCCTGGCTCACTCATGGGCAAGTACCCATTGCCGCCTGGTTTACCACCCGCTATATACGCTGCCTTACCTGATCTATTTTGTCCTTCGCAATTCCTTCTGGCGCACCGTCTGAATCCGCCCAGGTGCCCCTTCCCCGCGACACGATGGTTCCCCTGTACCTTCTGCTTTCCAATCTCGAGCTACGTCGCCCAGTCTGCCACGCTCGTAGCGCGTGCTACTGTACGTTTCATGTCCCTGGTCAACGGCATCTACGCCGCCATCTGCCCAGCTGCGGTTGACATTCCAACCGCAGCATCAGTCATCCCCCGCTGGCCACCAGGTCGGTAGCAACCCGTGTCGGTACCTAGCTTGCCCCGCTCGTCTTCTTTGCCGACTTTGACAACGTCCACGGCACCATTGTTCTGGGGGTCGGCGCCCAGGCGATGGTTGCGGGCCCAGTCATCACACCTGAGGCTAAGCTTCCGACAGGTCTCTGCGACACGTGAACCACGAGTCTGCAAACAGTCCTGCCTCCAATCGTCAAACTGTTCTCCCACGCGAGCCCCGATGATCTTCAACGCCGTTATTCCGAAAGGAAAAGGCAACGCAAAAGACCTGGCAAAGGTGTCCAATGTTTCCACCAGCGCGCCCCACTGCTCAGGTTGAGCTGATACGTCTCACACCTGTTCGGGCATCCAAGAGTTCATTGTCGAGCCCGTCTTGGTCGTTAAGTTTACCCCCGCTGCCGCGGAGTACCACTCGTGCATTTGCATGTCGACCATCAGCCCTTCGCCCACTATTAGGCCATGCAGAATACCTCGCGTTTCAGCCGCATCCTTTTCTTCGGTGTATACGCACCACAGATTTTCATCCAGTAACCTCGTCTTCGTCCAGGATCCCCCCTTCTTCACGTTGGTATTCCTTTCATGGTTTCTCCCAGTTGGCTCGGATATGCTCTGCCGCCGTTTCGCGCCCGCGCAGCACCCTTATATGGAAGGTTCCCTAACTAGGGTCAGGGGCTGCTGCGTCCAGAATTTCCAGCTTTGAATTTAGCGTTTCGAAAGCCGTGTGGCTCCCATTGCTGACCTGAGCCAACGCCTTGGGCAGCCGCTGATGCCACTCACAGAATGTTGGCCGCTTGTGCAAACTGTGCTTGCCTGACCCAATGTTGCCAGCCATGTGGGCGAACGTTCGTGTCCATCTTTTCGGCGAAACTATTGTCCAACTCAGCCACACGTGGCCTTGCCATTGCGGTTTCCGTTTCCTGTTTGTTCCCCGGGTTGCTTATGATCAGTGGTGTTGCGTTGGGTTCGCCAAACGTTCTCACCATCGGCATCGCGTACCTGCGCGCACGTCCTTATTCGAGAAATTGCTCATCGCGCCGCAGTTGGTGTGCAATACAGCTTTGACGAACTCATCGTCGCCCTGTTGGTCGGCCGCTAGACACTTGACACCGAAGGCGGCGAGGTCGCATTCAATACATTCCTATAGTGTCTCCTGTCATAGGTAGTGCCTGGTCTTGCCGCGAGGACCTCGCCCCGCTACCCTGCCAATTTCACGGCACGGTGGCAATACAAATCTCTTTAATCGAGCGGACGACAAGGGTACGTTATCACGTCCTGCACCGCCGCCAGGTGTTTTATGAACTTGACCCAAGTACCGGCAGTTGCACAGTAGCGTGGGGTCCTATATTGAAGCAGATCCTCCCCCTCCTCCTCATCATCCTCCTCATGCTCATCCCTCATTACCTTCTTCCTTCCCCTCCCTCCGCATGTTCCTTATCTGGCTGATCAGGGTTTGCGCCAAACTATGGCTTGGCGGTTGCGCAACCAGGTTCATGTTGACTCAGTTTCGCAACCACGTCGGAACAAAGACAGAACTAGGGAAAGCAACAACAAAACGAAAGCGGTAAACACTGCTCAGGTCGGGCTCTCACACTCATCCCCCCCTTGGAGACGCGTTCCCGCCCCGCCGTGAGCCACAGCATGCGCACCGCCTCCTTCTCCATGCCAGACTTGGCGGCCAGCCCGGCGATGACCCCGTCGACCTCCCGCGGCCACTGGAAAGGGGGAGCGGCATCGATTCTTAGGACGTGGGCCGACGTCAAAGCCTCAGCTCCCAGCAATGAGTACAACGGCAGGCCACAAGCACGGCGAAAGAGGCCAAGAGGGCCCAAAAAGGGAACGCAGGGCCCTGGGTCGAGGGCACAGCTTCGCAAAGCGCTCGTGGCGCGTTGGCATCCTTTCTGATCGTCCCGCGGATCACGCGGATACACTCTTGAACCTTGGCGACCGCATCGTCGCCGTGGGCCCCGTTCAGCGAGGTGGGGAGCGGCATCAACAGGAAGGCGAGGAGGTTGACGAGGAGTAAAACGGGGGAGAGCAGCTGCAGGAGGACAACTAAAGCCTCTGCACTCCCGCAAATAGGATTCCCACCCAATCTCCCTCCAAGGAAAGGGAGGACGACGAGTTGGAGGATGAGGAGGAGGAGGAGGAGGAGGAGGAAGGGGATACACATGGCGCGCTGCAGTTGCGAAGGAAGGGGAGTGAGAACGAGAAAGACAGGAAGAGAAAATGAGAGAAGGGGGAGGAACGACAGGAGCCAAGTCTGCAAACACCAGGCCACCACATGTGACATGTGAACCCTACCGCTGTAAGTCCGATGTCTGAAAATCTGGCAGGGGGTCGGAATTTGAAGGATGTCTGCAACCCAATTAACCACAGTGGGGACGTCCGATACCCCAGCGGCGACTGGACAGGAAGGGGCAGGGTTCGCAAGCGGTCGCAGATACATTAAAGGCCGCCGCCGATATGGCGTGCGCGTCGTGTAACGAGTCGAAATTCAGGTTTCATCTCGGCTGGTGCTCCAACTTCAGCTTCTGCTCTGCTAGGAGGGAGGGGGCGGGGCGGCGGAGCCCCTCACCCCAAGATGACCCCCATAACCCCCAAGAGGTTCCCGAGGCGCCCCCATATCAGGCCCCGAGATGTTCCCGAGAGGCCCCCAAGAAGACCCCAAGAGGCACCTAAGAGACCACATGAGGCCTCCGAGAGACCCACACGAGGCCCAAAGAGGCACCGCCTCGCGCGCTGGTAGCCTGGATTGCTCGGGAGCGAAAACACCGAACTAAGAACCAGCGAAGCCTTTCGAACACCTCGAACTTCAAACCCCTCCGCTCCTCGCTACGCGGCGGCGGCCCTCAAGCACCAGGAGCACCCCGGAGCGGCGGCACAGGCCGGAGGCCATTGAAGTAAGGAGGGCATGCAAGGAGGAGAGGGGCGGAGGATGCGGAGAGGAAACGGGGATGGAAGCCTCACATGCGACTGCGTGTAAATACCCGCAGACTCCCTCCGCTATCCTGTCAAGACGAGGGAAGACAAGAGAATGTTGGCACTGATGGAGCACAAGGCAGCGTAACCAATCCCTGCTCAGATACATCTTCCTCCTCACCGTTAAACTTCCAAACAGGGGTTATGATATAAGTATTGCGCAACGGACGAATGAATCGGCGTGGGAAACACGCTGGGTATAAACAAATCGCATGAGGTGGGCCCTCTCTCTCTCATTATCTCTCTCTCTCTCTCTATCGCTCTCTCTCCCTCTTTCTTTTTGTTTTCTCCCTCTCTCTCTCTTTTTCTCTCTCTCTCTCTCTCTCTCTTTCTCTCTCTCTCTCTCTCTCTCTCTCTCTCTCTTTCTCTCTCTCTCTCTCTCTCTCTCTCTCTCTCTCTCTCTCTCTCTCTTTCGATCGCAATCCAACCATGAATCCCACAAAGCATGCGCACATAGCTGAGGTGGGAGGGAGGGGAAGAAGGTGACCATCCGCCGCCGCCGCCGCCGCCGCCTGGCCGGCGGCCAGCCTGGCCCTCGGCCCGAACGCCCGCCTGGCCCGCCATCTCGCTCTCTTTCTCTCTCTCTTTCTCTCTCTCTCTCTCTCTCTCTCTCTCTGTGTTTTTCTTTCTTTTTCTCTCTCTCTCTCTCTCTCTCTCTCTCCCTCTCTCTCTCTCTCCCTATTGATTTGTCTCTCTTTCTCTCTCTCTCTCTCTCTCTCCCTCTGCTTTCGCGTGGTCCCCCCTGCCCCCCGCCTTTCCTTAATTTGATGGGGGCCGATAGGCCCGACCAGAAGCTGCGCTTTAGGCGTAGCACAGGTCCAGTTCTGTTGTACCGTAGTAACGATACTCCCAGTAATAGGGGATCGTCGCGGGAGCGACGGGCCATCTCAAGCAAAGGATGTTTTGGTCTCGATGGAACATGGTACACCTCGCACTGAGGTGTAGTCAGATCTGGGCGGCCGGCCGCTTGAGCACAAACGGCCGCGGACACACGCTCGCTACCTCTCGCCTATCCCAAGTCACTTTAGAGTCGGGGGGGATGGAGACGAAGCGTGAGTCCGCCGCTTCTATACAGCAGCTACAATGCACAAAAGGCAGCAAAGAGCGGGGCCGTAAGGAAGGCGGACCCGCACGCAAGTTGCCTTGCCTGCACGTGACAGTGCATACGATTACTCCTCAGGCGGCCGCAGGCCAGGATGTCTGGCCAGCCCGATAAGGAGCATGATGCTTTAAGTCGTGCTTGAAGGATTGCGTACCTCCCATGACCTGTAGGAACATATCTCTGTCGATGCTCCCCTTTGCGTGACCATCCGCGGTCGTGTCGCGAGTGTCACACCGCTGAATACAATGCACGATTTCTCGCTCCATCATCTGTCGTATCCAACTTATGTGTCCGAAAAGGGCACACTCAGTCGGTTTCTTGAAGTCTTTGCTTGACAAGGACTTAAAAACAAACTCAGCATCTATGGTCAAGGTGACCTTGACGCGCAGGCCGCCCAACTCAAGTATGTATTTCAACTGACTGGGGTCAATGGCCCTGCACGGAGCTCGCGCAGTCACGATCGTGGGATAGCAGTCCTCCAAGTTGTGGGCCGCTGCTAGTGACTCTGCTGAATAGCTTCAGCGGACCTGCAAGCGGCGAGACTTGCAGGGCGCATCGATTACGTGGACGACAGGCTTACATGATGACGTGGTTCCACGCCGTAGCAGGTTTGCCCCGCGAATACCATAGCCTTCGACTTCGTCATCGGCATCTCCACTCAGGCGTCGATAGCCCGAGTCGCTGTGCAGGTCAACTTCGCCTGATGGAGTGAGTCATCGCTTGGTAGACGGTCTTCTTAGGGCAGGCCTGCAGCTCCTGGTGATCGCGTTTAGTCGTCGCACTTGTAGATTGGTCGGTTCTTGGACACGTTGTAGAGAAACCACATATACCATCATCCACACTTCGGTGATTAATGCGTAAGCCAATTCGCCTCTGAGGCTGACGAACATGTCTGCAACCATCTTGGATGTCTTGGCGTCAGCGTCGGCGCTGGTGAGTTCAGGATTTTGCACGGGACGGAGCTGTTTGATGTACTCATCCTGGTCCAATGTGACATTGTCGCCCTCGTCCATGGGATACCTCACAGCACAATTGGCAGATGTGTGTCAGTTGAGTTTGCCCATGCCAAAACTGTCCTCGACGCACTTGACGCACTTGTCACTGGCGTCCTCGGCGCCTGCCATATTGATATCATCAACATGTTCGGCTCTGAGCAGGCCATTGCTCGCCTCGAACTCCTCGTCGTAGGACGTGGGTCTGAGACCGAGGCCTCTCGCGGTCCTTCTGAGCGTTAGTGAGAAAGCTCTGGGTGCATCCTTGATGCCGGTGCCTGGCTTGAGGCGCTGCAGGCAGCGCTTCGACTCGTCGCGGCGCTCGAATCCTGGGAGGGGCCGAGGCGCCGTAGCCGATCCAGGCGGCAAAATAAAGCACGCCACGCGGTCTTTCTCACCAGTTGCCTCGGCAAGTTCCTGGTAGGTCAACCCTTTCGAGAAGGCCGTGTAGATGTCGAAGGAAGCAATGATACATTGCTTCTTGCACGTGGCCGCGCTCGCGAGCAACCTCTGGCTCGGCCGCCGCGCTGCCCCTGAGAAGGTTACCGCGTCGGAAACTGCAAAGTCCATGGGGCCTCGAAGCCCCAGGCGCAATCGGATGGCACGCTCCATCTCGCCCTTCTCGTTCTTCACGAACTTCAATGTATACACATACCGCGAAGTCATGATGTTTGACGCTGTAGATATTTCTTGCATCTTGAAACACTTGTAGTCAAACAGCGCGTTGGGTTTAGTGCATCGGGCCATTAATAATTTCTCGGGATTCGCCTGGATGTCAGCCTTCGCGACGATGACGTCTCCTTGACAACCGCAGCTCGCTTTGCAGCGGCGGTGACGTATACTCGCATGGTGGTTACACGGTTGGCATCTAGCATCCGTGCTGTAGTTCGGACAGGACTACCTTTGACATTACTGCCGGAAAAAAAAAGTTCTACATATTGACCGCTTTCGTCTGAGTCCAATCCGTAACTGTGGTCTTCGACCGAGAAGCATACTGGGACATGATACGTCTCCTCGACGTCGGAGTCGCGCGGGTGCCCCCACTTAGGCAGGCCCCCCACGCTACAGTGACCAGCGCACTGTTGTCGGGTATCATTTGTGTGGGTGCAGTGTAAAGGTCGTCGAGTGGAGCTGCCTCCAGTAGTTCCCTTTCATCATGTAGTTCTGTACACCACACTTCCATAAGATGCGCCTCAAGGTCCGCTTCTGAATTCCTGATCTATCGTAGGAAGTCGTTCATCCTCCTGCGGTGGTTCGGCTTCTGGGGCTTCTCAGGCGTATTCGTCTTGTGTCGGTGCGTCCGCCAGGTCCTCAAACTTCGTCATATCTGGGTCAAAACCCGCTGGAGATTTAGCGGGCTTTAGGCGCTGGGTGATTCTCGAGTGTGCTGACCCAGATATATCATGACTATCAAGGGTAGTGCCTTCTGCTTCATAGCAATGGAAACATGGATTCACATCGTTGTCAGAATGGACCAATGTGCAACTGTCAGCGTAAGCCGCCGAAGGTAGCTCGCGGGCACTCTTGGCCAACCGAACAGAGACTACGTTCTCAATGCGGAAGAAGTTTCTGGTAAGGTTTTGCAGCGCCAGATTCACCTTAGGAGATAGTCGGCTTGCACTTGTCA